TTCTATTTACTTGTCAAAAAGATGTTTTGAAACTTTAACATCAACAGCTGAAAGTGGATCATCTAATAAATAAATATCAGCATCACGATACAATGCTCTTGCCATATTCACTCGTGCTTTTTGACCCTAATACATAAACAATACAACAGATGATAATATTTTATTTCTATAAAATGATCATTTACTCCAGATAACATGACACCTTGATCACCAACAAGAGTGTTTGCACCATGAGATAATTCAATAAAATCCTATATGAAAAGAATAATGATAATGATTTAAATGGAGATATGAGATGAACTAACTGTATCAAGTGCAGTAGCATTGATAACACGTTTAAATAATTTATGATTATATTCTTTACCAAAAAGAATATTAGTTTTGATTGATGATGAAAAAATCCCTAGGAAAACGAAAATTTTGTTGAATTGATGATTAATATATGAATACAAACATGGTTCTTGTGGAACATAACAGAATGATCCATGTAATCGAACTTTCCCATCGAAACATGCTATTTCACCAGTTAATGTTTGTAGAAGAGAACTCTAAAAATAATGAAGATAGAAAAAAGAAGGCTATAAAAATTAATTGTTGAGACTTTGCCAGATCCAATGGGACCAATGATACAAATAAGATCACCTGGATAAGCATGAAAAAGAATATTTTTTAAAGAAAAATGGCTATCCTATATAGAGAGAATTATTTATTTAATAATTAATAGTCAGATAATATACTTGTGCCCATCGTGCTTGTTTCAAATCACATACAACACTATGAGATTTATCTTTTGTAGGCTCATTAGTATTAGATATTTTAAGTATATTTTCTGTTGTAGGATGTTCACTCGTTGAGAGATCTATAATAGATTCTGATAATAAACGATTATCTCGTTGAGATTCATCAAGAAGAAGAAATGCCTATAAAGATAAAAGTTAGATTTTCAATATGAAACATGTTTATAGTAACTTTAATGCGCTTTTCCGCTGCTAAATAATATATAATATGACGAACAGCAAGATTAAAGAAATCGATAACCGTTAAACGCACATAACCAAGCATACAAGAAGCAACTGCAAAGAATCGTATATCAAATTGAATTCCTAATGACCACATGGCTCCATACATCATTAAAAATGTGACACCAATGTAAGTATGAGATAATACAGTTTGAACAGCATCAAGTGTTAAACGAAAAGCACATTGCAGTATTTCACGGCTATATAAAATATAAAATAATAAAATATATCAATTAATACTGTATTATACTGACTTTCTTATT